CTGATTTTCAGCCTGTGGCTAAACACGTATAACTTCACAGGACAGCTGCCTGATGCTTTGTTTCTGAAACAAGACTTCACAACTTAAGAGAAAGAGATTTCGTACAACAGTCAGAATCATAGAATTATAGAATGGCTTGGGTTGAAAAGGGCTTTAAGTACTACCCTGCCATGGAAAGGGTTGCCAAGCACTAGATCAGGCACCAGATCAAGTTAACCAGGTCTCTAAGTTGCCTGGCCTTGGGCAGCTTCAGAGATGAGTTATCTATATTTTCTCTGTGCAGCCTGTCTCAGTGCCTCACTACTCTTTGAGTGACAAATTTCCATCTAACAAATTAAATCTTCATTCTTCCAGTTTACAACTGTTCTGCCTCATCCTTTCACTATTTGATCATGCAAAAAGTGAGTTTCCCTCCTGTTTATAAGTTCCCTTCAGGTAGTGTGAGGCCCTTAACAAGGTCCCCTGGGAGCCTTTTCTTCTCCAGACTGAACAATCATAGAATCTTAGAATCATAGAAACACCAAGGTTGGAAAAGACCTCGAAGATGATTCAGTCCAACCAGCCACCTATCACCAATATTTCCCCACTAAACCATGTCCCATAGTACAACATCTAAACATTTCTCAAACACCTCCAGGGATGGTTATTCAAGCATCTTCCTAGCAGTCAGGACCAGCATCTTACCACTCTTTCAGAGAAAAGAGGGTCAACCTAAATCTTCCCATCTTAAGGCCATTCCCTCTAGTCCTATTGATAGTTATGTGGGAGAAGAAGCCAATCCCCACTTTGCTACAAGCTCCTTTCAGTGTATTGTAGAGAGCAATAAGGTCTCCCTTGAGGCTCTTCTCCACAGCAAACAATATCAGTTTCCTTGGCCGCTCCTCATAAAACTTGTGTCTCCTTGACTTGACTCCTCTTCAGCTTCATTGTTCTTCCCTGGATATGCCTGGGGGCTTCAATGTCCTTGTTATATTAAGGGTCCCAAAACTGAACGCAGAACCAAAGGTACAGCCTCACTAGCGCTGAGTGCAGAGGGATGTTCACTTCCCTACTCCTACTGTCAACAGTATTTCTGATACAAGCCAGCATGCCACTGGCCTTCTTGGCCACCTGGGCACACTGCAGTCTCATGTTCAGTTGAGCATCAGCCAACAGCCCCAGATCTGTTTCTTTCACACAGTCATTCAGGACTGTAGCACTGCCTGGGGTTGTTGTGGCCAAAGTGCTGGACCCAACACCTGATCTTGGTGAACTTCATCCCATTGGACTCATCCCAAGTCCAGCTCCCTTAGCCTGTCCTCAGAGAAGAGGTGTTTCAGCCCCCGATCATCCTCGTGGCCCTCCTCTGCACCCACTCCAACAGCTCCACATCTTTTCTGTACTGGGGCCCCCAGGCCTGGACACAGGACCCCTCTGGCTGTGACCACCTAAACAATTCATGATAAATCTAATTTTCTAGCCTTCAAATTAATACCTCTCCAATTTAGAGATAAGGATACGTTGCAGGACCATGTCAAAGGCCTTGCACATGTCCAGATAGATGACACCAGTTGTCCTGATTCATCAGTGCCATTACTCCATCATAAAAGGCCACTAGATTGGTGAAGCCATACTGGCTATCATGGATCACTTGCTCATCTCACACATGCTTTAACATAGCCTCCTGGGAAGATGATCTTTTCCATGATCTTTCCATGCACAGAGGTAAGAGGCACTGATCTGTCCCCAGGTCTTCCTTTCTCCCTTTCTTAATAATGGGAGCATGATTTCCTTTTCTTCAGTCACCCATGGACTTCGCCTGGCAGCCATGACTTTTCAAACATGATGGAGTTGGCTGTAAGTAATTGTTTACTAGAAATAAATAAAATATTAGCTTCAAGTGTAAACCATTACTAAACCAGGAGGAGATTTTATGTGTGTATGCATGTCAGTTACTATGTGGTTTTGTAATGATTTTTGCATCTTCCAGACGTTCACTGTGTATACATGTCAGTTACTATGTGGTTTTGTAATGATTTTTGCATCTTCCAGACGTTCACTTCTATTTATTTTCTTTTTCTTCCTTGAATTTACCTTACTTCCTTTTTCTTTTTGTGCTTAAAATGTTGTGATCCCTAATATCAGACATAGCATTATAGGTGTTTAATTTAAATTTTTCTTTAAATCCTTAAAAAAACTGTGATAGAGTGAGAATGTGCATGCGAGACTGAATGCAGAATAGCTGGGGATGTGACAACTTAGATAATTAATTAGTCCTTTTCATGTCAACAGGGGGGTGCACGTATTTTGATTTTTGCATATATTCTCATTCACGCTTTTTCTTGTTTTTTTTTCTTTTTTCTTTTTTCTTTTATTTTTGATGCCTAGGATTGTGAAGCCTTTATTTTCACCCTGGATTCAATAAACTGTCTGGTCTCATTACATGAATCTGAATGACGTGCGTTAGCACCCTGCTTATTAACCACTCTTCATCTGCAGCAGGTCTGTGTTAGACACCTGTCTCAATTTTCCTATCACATGCCTTCTGTGCGGCACTGTCATAAGAACAGCAGACAGGCATTAACTCATACTTTCCAGGGGTCTTTACTATAGGAAACAAATGTAGACAAAAGGCAATGCACTGGCTTTTATTCTTATTCTCTTCTTTCTTTCCGCTGTGATTAAAAATGCCTATGAATCTCCTAAATCAAAGATTCATTTTTGAGGCCATTTGTAGCAACTTTGAAAATTCTGCAAAGTTGATCAACCACTGAAATTATTCTGGATGCCCATTCCTGGATTATGTAACACCTCAGCAGGCAACAGAACTGACTTACTACACTGCAATTGTGATTGCTGTCATCGTTACCTCTGCTTAAAAACCACTTTTGGCTAGAAACATTATTTTAAGCCACAATGATTAGGGCAAAATGATTTTATGAACAAGTAAAAGGAAAATACATTTTAATGATTGGATGTGAATCTAGGTCTTGGGAGACCTGGATACGGTGCCTGGCTGTAGCAGGGTAAGATTGTGTTAATTCATTTTTTGTCATCTTGATGTAGTCTTTTTAAAGAAGAAAGCCACAGAATATTATTTGCTTTATCTTAAAATAAGATCCCATCACCTTCAGTGTTCCTTCTTACTCCACAGAGATTTGACTAAATCACATGATTAATAATCGTTTTTTAATGATCTCATTTCCTCATTTTCCATGTCATTCCCATCTCCCATCTGTCTCCATAACCTCTCTTCTACCTTTTCTTAGTCTTACCCAGCAAGAGTTTAAATCCTCATTCCTATTCCTTTGGAAACAAACTATAATAAATATCAATGCATTGTGAGGAACAAAATCATACTTCAGTTTTTTTTTCTTTCCTGATGCTTTCTGTTACATTTCATTTCTTTGCATTCTTCTCTCGGATTTCACTTACTAACTTTTAGAGGATCATAGCTTTGTCTTTCAACGGCCCTGTGAAAATCAAAAGCAATGAGACAAAGCCACTGAGCTCCTGAAGACTGTCTGCCCCTCACCCCACCAGACATAGATGTATTTTTTGTATTGTTTAATACCTTCTTGCCTTCGCATGACTTTCACCAGCATCTAATCTTTCCAAGCTCTCCCAAAATCGATATCTCACCCCATTTGTTTTTCCAACATATAAGCTCAAGATTTATGCATTTATTTCTATTTAGTTTTCTCTCAGGATGCTTCAAAGAAAATATCAAAAGACTCAACATCTTACCAAAAGTTTACTCAAATCTTCACACTGGTTCTTCACAGGATTTCCAGAATTACCTTCGCTTTCCACCACAGAGCGTGTGAAGGGTGGAGAGAGCAAGTTTCAGGGTCATATCTCCTTTTCCTCCTTTTCTTCCATCTGATAATTGAAAGGATGTCTGAGTGACATGGACTGTAAGAAGTCGTCCTGCCTGTGCAAATCATTTTTAGAGGACTTAAATGATTTTTATTCCCACAGCTATGCTGTAAAGTAGATAAGGAGTGTGTCCATTTCAGAGAGGATATACTGAGGAACAAATCAGACTTACTGCCTTGTCCAGTATTATACAGTTTGTGGATGTACCAAGAATTGAGTATATCTCCTCAGAGCCCTACTCTAGTTCTCTGGAGTATCATCCAGATTATTGGCTCAACTCTCCATCAGCTGAAGCAGTGATTCACCTAACAGGAATCATTCTTTCTTGTAGTCCTGTTTTTCCAACCATTTATAAATGTAACAAGCTGAACATAGTTTTTTGTTTTGTTTTGTTTTGTTTTTAGTGTAAAAAGAAAATACTTTGGTTTTTTGTTTTGTTTTGTTTTGTTTTTAGTGTAAAAAGAAAATACTTTGGTGTAGGTTGATTTTAAATTCCATGGAGTCCACAAAACTTTCAGGCTACCACAGTTCTGTGGTATTTATAACGTGGTATTGATGTTGTGAAGTACTTCACCTCCACCCCTGTCTGCCTTGAGACATCTTGTTTTCAGAGGGAAGTGAATACAAGTTCAAGGTTACAGGAGAACATTTCCCTGGCTTGTCAACTCCTCCTCTTTCAGCTTGACTGGAAAGTTTCTTCATGCTCTCATACTTTATTCCTGTGATCAGACTGCAGGAGGCAAATGAGAGCCAAAAGGGTTGTGGCATTTGTGGTTTATTTTAGAGGTGGTTTATTCTCTGAAAAGAAAAAAAAAAAAAAGAAAAAAAAAAAAAGA